CCCGCGTGTCGATCATCTACGACTGCTTCAACAGCATCATGAAATTCCTCTCGTTAGCTCTCGAGAGCAGCCTCGAAGACTTGGCCGACTGGACCGCTGTCGACTGGCGCAGTGTCAACTTTGCAATCATGCTGTCGACCAAGTCGTCCATCATCCTCGACTCGGCCTACGCGAGCACCGAGGCCTCCCAACGAGCGGCCTGGCTGGACAAGTGTCTCGACACCCTGTGCCAACGGGCTCAGGAACTGCATCGCCTCAAGAATGACGATTGCAGCTACTTCCAAAAACTCGCCAATGAGTGGGCCAACATGAAGATCTACCACCAGAACTGTCTCCAACGAAGCCTCTCATCGTCAAACGGAACAAACAGTGTCCAACTGCCGACGCAACTGCCTGCACAGCAACATCAAGCTGCCAATGTAGCCTACCTCGACAGTGCGTTTGGTATGGATCCATTCAACGACCTGTTTTGGGCCGGGTTCGCCGAACCAGAGCCGGGCATTGGTGGCATGTTCTCCATGTGACTTTGAGAGAGGAGGAAATGGAGACAGCGACACACTTCACCTATCATCATATTGTGCTTGATGCACTTGACCAAACGGCGGGCGAGGTTCGAAGAGGTCATATTATATCACGTGCACAGCCACCGACTGCTGTCGCAGACTCTGCATTGATAAGCCTGTGGGGATAAGGAAGTAGCGCCCATTCGCACGGGAATGCAGAGTTGAGGGCCTTCAAGGCTGTGACTTCCAGGATTGTCTTGGATACCCCCAATGCAATTGTGCTGTTACGGCGTACAAGCTAGGATTGACTCCCAAGGACAACGCCTGAATGTTCCAGGAGACTAGCAACACCGTGGGCCTGTTACCAACATGCGAGTCGCCCGTCTTCAGATTTGGCAAGGAGCAGCCCCGCTCGAATTCTTCGACACGTCGAGATATATCCCGAGCAGGACCAAACAGCCGCTGTATGTAGAAGATGCTGCCTAGAGGGCATTGATACTAGATATTGGATCTAAACCGAGGTGAAGGGTCTAGAGAACGGGTCAGGTGGTTCGGAGTGCCTGGCATCTGGCGGCGCATAGCAGTGCCGTGCGTCCAAGCTAGGGTACTTTGCATGTAGATAGGGCCAGGGGGGGCCCTGACTCAATCGTCAATGACTAACCTCGAATCGGACTTCGAATCGAGGATTCATACGGCCGAGTTGATGATGTGCTAGCTGAGAGAGGGATGGTTGCTGTCACCTGGCTGAATTCAACGGTTTCTAGCTTTGGAGGGACAGAGAACCCATAAATGATTATCCAGCTGGGCAACAAAATTTCGAAGGGAGGCCTTCGGGTCCAATATTATTCCCGATGTTCGATCATTAATCAGAAGAAGTCGTGCCGCGGCTCAGAAGACTTGAGATGGAGAGAGATGGTATTTAGATGGTAGAGATGCAATGACGCAGATTGCGTCGCGTCTCGTCCTATTGCATGAGAAACGCGCCAAGACGCAGAAGCCATTCGCGAAGTCACGTGAGTGTCATCATTGCCTCGATAATTCCAGCCTCTGCTTATCCACGATGCCACACTCGCTCTGACATATCCACAAATATCTCCAGCACCTCTTACATACATGATCAGATATCGGGGCGGGACTGACATATAATCAGCTCTTCCCATGGCCAGCGGCGTCCGCAACACACCGCTGTAAAATACACGCCTTCGGACCAACTCTAGTTTGGGCTGTCCGCCGTGATTCTCTATCTTCGACTTCTGCCCTGGCCCCATTGTGGCTTTGCCTGGCATGAGACAAACCATGGTGCGCGGGATATAGAGGTCTCGAACCCAAGAACTGGATCTTGCGGGGTTTCCCATCTACAGAGCAGACAATCCTACAGAGATCAAGCCAACAGCCCCGAGTTCTGACGCCTCTTTCGGGGTCAACTACATTATGGGCCATTCTTGAGAGCAAGACAACTCTGACGCCTCCTGAAGCGCTGGCCACAACGTGCTGCTGCGCATTCCTCTCTTCCAGTCGTGGGGGCTATTTCAATGGCGCAGGCTGAGAACGCAGGAAGCAAGGTTGGATCTGGAGTACTGTACAAAGGAGATAATGCGTCCAACACCAAACAGGATGTCATCGAGGCACAGGCGGGCAATGTAATCAAAAAATAGGGTCACTATTGAACTGAGTATATGTAGTAGAACTGGAGTACTTGATCTGGCCAATGAACATAGCGTCTGCATACAAACAGATGGGTAAAGCGTTGGTGCTGACTGGTGGCACACAATAATATCCACCTCTCTTCCTCCCTTTCCCGCTTTCTCGGGTATGGCGAGTCCCGCTACGGGATGTGATCAGATCTATCTTTGAACCCAAATCGGTCTCGGAGGATTGCAGAGTGAGCATCGTGTACAAACTTAGAAACGGCCTCTTCTGGTCTTATTCACGAATATCCACCTTGGCACCGCCCGCAGTTTGTCAGTTTCGCAGTTTCGCGGTCTCGCCTTGCCTGCGTGAGATTCGGCCCCCTTCGCTTTACTCGTCCAGCAACCCACGCCTCCAGATTGAATCCATCCATCAGACGACACCAATCCTCATCGGTCGAATCAATGTACCCATATAGCACAGTACAAAGCTCCAAGCAAAGATCCTTCCTCTCATTCTCTCCTCCAAGCTATGAATGCTTGAAGTGAATGCGCGCCCGAGACCCTGACGCGATTCCACCACCATCGCAACATCACAATAATAACAAAAGCTTGTCCAAACATCCGGATGATTCCTGTCTGATCAATCCTGCCTAAGGTTTTCAAGGTCTCCCCAAGCCAAGCTCAACCCTTCACGGCGATTGAACACCTCTGATTCAATGGCCGCCGCTCCTCCGAGACCTAATGCTGTTCCTAGCGGTCCGCTGGCAGTTCCCAGCGTTGCCGCCGCAAGCAGCATCATGCAAGGTGGCGTCAACAACCTGGCTACCCTGTCCAGCAGTTATCTCGACCGCTTCTTCCCGCCGCGGCAACGCCAACAGTGGAAAGCCTGGCTGTTGGCCTTCGCCACCGACCGACCGTACCTCGCAAGTTTCCTGCTCAGTCAAACCGCCATCAGCGGCCTCCCACTCCTCCTCTTCGGGCTGATGACCGTCACGGTCTTCATCTTCTCCCTGCTTGCAGGAGTACTTGTTGTTCTGCTCGGGGCGTTGCTGTTTGTAACGGCTGCGGCGGGATTTTCCTTGATCATTCTCTTGCCGACGCTGTTCTTCACCACCGGCGTGGGTGTCTTCGTCTGGCTTTGCGGCATTGGTTTGTATTTTGTCTTCAAATGGGTCAGCGATAAGGACTCTTCGAGCCCTCGCGAGGTTCCGGCAGCGGTCGTCCCCGTCCCCGTGAAACCTGTTGGCCCTGGCAGTACGCAAAGCGTTAATGGGACTCCCGCTGGTGGACCACCCAGACCGAGTGGCCCGAACAATTCTCAGGGCGTCAATGGAACTCCATCCGGCGGCCCGACGAGGCCTCCAGCTCCTAGCAATGCCCAGAGCGGCAACGGGCCTTCAGCCGGTGGGCCACCTAGACCGACTGGTCCTCCGAATTCTCAAGGTCCTAACGGCAATCCAGCTGGCGGGCCGACCAGGCCGAGCGGCCCTCCCAATCCTCAAGGCATGAATGGAGCTCCGGGCGGTGGAGCACCCAGACCCAACGGCCCTCCCAATCCTCAGGGAGTCAATGGGAGTCCACAGGCCGGTCCCAGACCCGGCCCAAACCCCAGCCCCAACCCGAACATGGCACAGAGACCTCCTCCGAGTAACGGGCCACCGCCACAGGCACAGCCCCGACCAAATGGACCGACACCCATGAACAGCGCCAACAACGTTAATGGCGTCAATGGTGTTAACGGTGCCAACGGCGTCACGAACCCTCCCAACAACTCTCCTCCGCCCAGTAACCCCAGCAACAACAACCTCAACCCAGGCACTGCGAATGGCATGCCCATGCCCAATTCCCCTCCCCAGAGAAAACCCGTCGCCAGCAGACCTCAATCAGTGAGCCCGGGACCTCCGCAACCAGCACAGGCACCAGCACAAGCACCAGCCCCCGCACAAGCACAAGCACCGGCACAAGCACCGGCATATCCACAAGCACCAGCGCAGGGCATGCAACAGGCTGTTCCTGCCCCTGGCCCTGCTCCTCTTCCGGCTCCGGTCCCCTTGCCCGTTGCGGTGGCCAATGCAATGGCCGAACCGCTCGAGGAGTAGACAAGACCCGTGGGTGCCAGAGCTGCATAGCTGGCACATGGTCTATACCTCTTACTGATTTTGTTTTTTGAGAGGGGAGTCGAGTCTTGACTCTGACTGGGTAGACTTGTGGTTAAATGTTATCCAATTGGGCACTATGAGCGGTGTATTCTGTACTGGGTGGGCTATGTTGAGTTCGGTTACGAGCGAGGTGTTTACGGAGTTTCTGTCAAGAAAAAGGGATAACCACAAAGGAATATATTACATGCCGGTCACTTCCTATAGCTCAGGAGAAACAGGAAAATAGCAAACAGGATCTCTCATACACCACCATTCCTTGATTATCATTATTTCGCCGACAAAACCCCACACTAATCGTGTGTTCCAGTCCGCCGAGCCGACTTACATAGATAAATCCCGAATCCTCCTAGGCTAGGTAGGCCCATTACACGCACACACGGCCGATCTTGTCATCGGTGACGTGGTAGTCCGCTTTTTTCTGTGTGCGTGCGCGTGTGCGCTTAGAATATAGATAGATATGTATTGAGGGACTCTCGGCAAATAACCCAGAGAGAGAGAGAGAGAGAGAGAGAAGAACAAAAATAGAGAAGGACGTGAGTGAGAGGCCAGCTTCGGGGGGGCCGGGGGGATACACTCAGATCCCTTTGTGACTCTCGACTCCCCTTTCTGCACTTTGAATGACTCCAATTCCAGGAAACCCGGGCTCTGGTTCCGGTTCTGGTGGACCTGACCACTGTCCACTCGCGTCGCTACCGTTGCTGACCTCATCAGGACGAGTCGAGCGGGAACCGGTCGACGAAGCGGAACGTCTTCAGCCCACCCTCAAAGGCGGTCACAAACGGCCTTGTATCCGTCGAGTTTAGGGTATACACGCCCGGGCCGGCGGGGATGTTGGCGACAGCGGGTCCGAGGACGGTGGACGCGGTGACTTCTCCCAAGGCACCGACGGGTTTCCCCCAGCGGTAGGCGTCGAGGAGGATCTGTAGCGGGCGGGCCGCGGGGTAGAGGGCCGAGGTGGACGAGTTTGTGGTGAAGAGGGCGTCGGTCCCCGTGGTGACGATGACGCCGTCGAACCCGCTCGCGTCCGAGGCTGAGTAGGTCTGGTTGACCGCGCCGGTCAGCGTCTCGCCTACAATGAGGGGGAAAGCGCCGGCCTGCGAAAGGGCCTGGGCCAGCGCGGTCGCCTGTGCCATAGAGCCTGGAACCGTGACGCTGGCAAGGATGCCCACGTTCAGCGCCGCGATCGTCGGCAGCGAGTAGTTGAAGATGGACACAAACGCTGTGCGGTTGTTGTTGTAGTACGTCGGGTCCGGCGCTGGGGCAGGTACTCCTAGCACCTCCGCAAGTCGCACCGCCAGGTCGTTGTCGACGCGGTTCAGCTGCGTGATGACGTTTTGCTTGACGACTGGGGACGTGATGTGCGAGGTCTCGAAGCGCATCGCATTGATGAGGAATTGCTGCTCTACCGGGATCAACGAGTTGTAGAACATCCGCGGCTGAGACCACACGTCTGCAAACGTCGACGACTTCTCCCGCACGAGGTGCCCGCCCACTGTACGGCCTGGGGCCGTGAAGAACCCGTCCCCTACAGTCTGATTAGCTTGCATGGGCGAGCCGTTGTTGCCTGTGTTAGGCGTGTAAGCGTTGACGTTGAGGGGAATGTAATTCTGCGCAGCTCCATCCCGGTTGTTGTTGTGGATAGGTATTCGCGGTCGGTTGATAGGCAACTGCTCAAAGTTGGGACCCCCGTGTCTGTTCAATTGGGTGTCGAGATAGGAGTAGATTCGGCCCTAGTGGACAAGGTGAGCTGGTGGACAGGACGGAATTTAACATGTAGAGACATACCTGAAGGAGAGGGTCCTCTGTGAAATCGATCCCACGGACGATATGTCCTGGTTGGAACTGTAGCCGCATCAGCCTTGTTCTCGTCAGAAGTAGTGCCGATGGGTGATATTACCATGATCTGCTCCGTTTCGGCAAAATAGTTGCGAGGATTCTGGTTCAGGGTCATCTTACCCAGGATCGTGACTGGCACGATCTCCTCTGGCACGATCTTGGTGGGGTCGAGCAGGTCAAATCCGAAGCTGAGCTCGTCGGCTTCATCCATGATCTGTACTCCCAGTTCCCACTCTGGATACTGACCGGCCTCAATGGCATCCCACAGATCCTGCCTGTGATAGTCGATGTTCTTCCCCGCCAACACCTGGGCTTCTTCCCACACCAGGCTTGCCTTACCCTGCAGGGTCTTCCAGTGCCATTTGATCAGCTTCGAATTACCATCCTCGGTCACGAAACGGAAAGTATGGACTCCAAAGCCATCCATATGCCGGAAGGATCGTGGAATGCCATAGCCCGCCATGGCCCAGAACAGGGTATGCAAAGTGGAGGGCTGTTGACTGAAATAATCCCACGCTGTGGTGTGAGCGGTTCCACCTTGTGGAATTTCTCTGTCTGGTTCCGGTTTAACAGCATGGATTAAGTCAGGAAATTGGATAGCATCCTGAATGAAAAAGGGTGCGATGTTGTTTCCGACAATGTCTGTTATATTGGATATCGATTAGAACGTTTTCTGACAACTCTAGAGTTCTCAGACAATTCTCTGTCCTGTAGGGGACTTACCAAAATTTCCAGCGTCAGTGTAGAAACGAGTGGCAAAGCCGTGGACGTCTCGGACCGTTTCTGGGCTGCCTCTACTTCCTGCAACAGTAGAAAACCGGGTAAACATGGGCGTCTGTTTCCCTGCGGCAGAGAGAAACGAAGCCGCGGTGATGTTCGACCAGTCGGCGTAGCTTGTGAAGACACCATGAGCCCCTGGCCGGTAAGTCAGCAATCTATAGAGACTGCGCAATCAGCTAAGACACTGAACAAACCTGTGCCTCGCGCATGGACAGCTCTCTCCGGGACCTGTGTAAGAGCAATGACGTTAGCTCAGTATCCTTTCCAGCCGCGTGTCGTGTTTTGGTTGTACTCACCCGTTCATGATCAAAGTGCTGGATCTTCTGTCTGAACATAAAGTCCTCGAGAAGCGTAGGCCCCCTGATTCCCCCCTTCAAACTCTCTTGGTCCTGGATAGGCCCACCAACGTCCGAAGTGATATACGTGTCGGTGTCGTTGAGCGTAAATTGATCAAGGAAAGTGTCGACAGGATCCGTGCTGTTGGAAAGCGAGGTCTGCCGTTTCACGTAGGTCTTCGCTTCATGCTCCGACGATTGCCCCTGAATTCCTTGCCCACCTTGCATGTACGGACAAGCAGCCAATGTTCCGTGAATAACGCAGAGGAGTGTGACCGTGGTACCGATCATGGCTGGCAGAACACGAAGGTCGTAGACAGGGCGCATGGTTGAGAATGAGACTGCGTGATGCGGTCTCGAGGGTGACTTTTCGACTCACACGAAGATGCCACGGATGCTATTGTCTTCTTCATGGCTGCTTATATATAGAGATATCCGAATGGCCGTTTCTTCCCGTCATACTTCTCCCCTCCAAATCAAGATCCATCCGGTGCGTCACGGTGCATAATGCAAGACGCCACGGAACGACATCAGATAACGCAGTGAGAAGTACCGGTTTCTGTCAGCACCGGTCGTCTGAAAGAGTACACGTTCAGCGAGAGGAGGACCATAGTTCCGAAGCTCACCTGCTCGAAGAGGTTTCGACATGGGTCAATTGAATTGGTCAACAACAAGTCCAAAATAGATGCGACCTCATATGCGCGCTCGGAAACTATTGTGCTGCGACAGGGAATGGGATGGAAAGCATCCTACCTCGATCCAGGGTTCCTGCACCAAAGCATCCGAGGTCTGGTCGACCAGTGGTGATTTTGATATTGCTAATCCTTGTTGGCTATGCTCGAACCTAGCAAAGAGGAGCGAGGTTGACATGCGATTTGTTCGTCTGGGTCGTACAGCAGGTGACTACCAGAATTGCTGACATTCTTCGTGGCACCTGGCGGAACACCTGTGAAGCGCCCCTTGACTAATTTGCAGTCTTGATATTCCCAAACATCTCTCACTATACTCAATAGAGTAACCTTGAGCGACGTCGGATGTGTCATTTCGAATTCAAGTCGTACGAGGACAATGCGTTCAAAGCCGCGGGCCGCTCCACCGTGTGGTCACACCAGATGTGCCAGCCTGATCAAAATCGGATAACCATGTACCTCGTAAAGGACTGGGTTGGGTACCAGTGAGATCAGTGGGCTGATCTTCAAGCTCAGTAGGCTGTATCATTTCTTCGGAAAGACATATCCTTGGAAATGTCCATCTCTGCACCTTTTCAGCCGTCCCAAGTCCTGTCACTAATGTGCCTTGGTTTGGTGGATGATCCCTGAATGCCACATGGGCAAGCAGCCAAAAGGAAATCAAGCCGTGTCTCGATCTTTCTCTTGCTTGACCTAGTGGTTCGAGCTTCCCCGAGAGCACAGCCTTGTGAACAGAATCTCGGGTTTGCGAACGCAGCGTAGTTCCCGCGTCCCACTTTGGGAGACTAGTGGACTTTGTCTATCCAACTGTTTGGTGCATCGGTGAGGCGGCCGCATCTGTGGAGAGCATCTCGGCTTTTCATGGGAGGTGCAGGTGGCAGGGTGTGAGGGAAGAGAACATGATGCATGCCACGTACTCGGCACTGCAAGATTGCCCGTGTCTCCCTCTTTTTTTTCTCCATAAGGCCATCAGTTAGAGATCCACAGAAAAATACCTGATCTCAGGAGATGAAAGCAGCCTACGCACGGGAAGTCAGACAACGCGTTTGCTGACGAGCCGCGGATTCGCCGCTCAAACTCCACAGAATGACGCAAACCAGCATGGACGACTCGACGAGTTGATGCTCTCTGTTGGCGTCTTCGTGCAGCGCAGCCTGTGCAGTCGGGTCGATCAAGACTGGGTACCCTGGTAGAGCAGTCGTGGACGTGAGAATGCTAAGGACCGGTCGGCCAGGGTGTCGAATATACGTCGAGTCATCTGTAAGGCGGCGAAGAAACACGAGTAAGAAATTACGCAGACTTCTGCATGCGCTCGAGATGCGCTCTGTTCAAGGTCAGACGTGACATCTCCACCCGCTCTGGTACTTTGTGCAGGTCAAGTGGCCAGTGATGTCGGGCAAGGTAAGCGATGACAATGGTCAGCTGGCCGGGGGCGGGACATGATATACAGCAGACTCGGCGAGTAATCAACATTCGATAAATACGAGGAGGGATGGTCGGAGAAGTCATCATCGACATGGAAGGAAGATACAGCATTCTCCAAACGTTGAAGATGAGATGAGGGGCCACCGCAGCCTGGAGCATTCTAGGATGGGACGAAACAACAATGTCATATCAGTTTCTTGCCTCAGCCCGTAAGAATATAACTTTCTTGATGTTGATATAATCAACCTGAGGGACAGCCTCAGCCCTTGTGTGCAACTCCCAGAAGCCCAATATCCCAACCCTGTCCCATTCATATCATATTCGTACCCGTCATCGTAGGCTGCCCGCCGTGTATGCATCAAACGCCCATGGTAAAGTCATGCTCGATCCCGGGCGTTACGCTCGCCATGAACTTCAAGAACACAACCAAATATTGGTCTACGCGAATAGCCACCTTCTCGCTCTCCTCTTCTTTGCTGTCTTGCTCATCCAATACCTCCCATTCATCTCCTGCGCCGCCACTAGCAGCTTTCACACCCGCTTCATGTCCACGCTTTTGCTCAGCCAATCTAAGATTTGCCGTATCGTCAATCAGACCTTCCATGCCTGAGATATTGGCGGCGGTGCCAGTCGCTTTCTGTCTTTCCAGTCGAAGCTTCAAGGCCACGTCGGCACGGTCGAGGAGGATCTTCATCACGCTGGCATGTTTGCAAGGGTGGATACTCGCCATCTTGACACTGTTGTCGAAGAACGGGAAGTCTTCCAAGGTGACGGTTTTGTCTTTGTAGTCGCCGACAATATCTTCCATCATGAGGTGCGGTGGCAGAGGCTCGCTGGGAGAAAGGTAACCGGAGAGGTACATGCGTGGAGTACGATAGTAGGGTGTGTAGGTGATGTAGAGTGTGTATGTCCGAAGAGGCCTGTGAACTGTGTCAGCGTATGAACTTATCCCGAAACAACCTGGAAGGGAAGAGGAGTGTCTTACGCAGATGTGCCTTCGCCCTTATCTCTTATGATAGCCTCATTATCATCGTCCTCGTCCTCCATGTCCGGGATTTCTTCCTCGTCCTCTTCCTCGGTGGCTTTTTGTCCAAGATGCCCACTCTCACTCATCGTCCGCACTTCCGCTCTCAGGCCTTCTTGTTCTTTCTCGGTCGTCCCTCCCGTCCTTAACCAGCCATCGTCTTCACCGCCACCAGTCTCCTCGTCGGGACCGCCTAGGAATCCATCTCTGACCAGATCATCCGCAGCGCCGTGTCCACCTGCAAAGTTCTCATCTAACCTTCTATGGCAGGGCACTCCTCTCGTGACGAGAAATTGCTTGTTTGGGGGGAGATAGCTGACCCGGCGCGCAGGACTCGAGGCGTCAGACCATGACCAGGTCGGGAATTTGTAGACCAGGTAGTCTCCCGCGAGGAGGAATTCTTCCGGTGTGATTTGGCCTGTACTACGAAAGGTCGAGGTGTGTCGGATAGGCGCGTAGCGGTCGCGAAGCTGGTCGAGACCAGAGCGAAGATACTGCATTGTTTGACTCGAGAGCAAGCGATTCTGCTCTGAGACGGGGTGGGGTTAGTCGGAGAGATGAGGTTGTAGCTGCGGAGGCTAGCAGCGCGCGTCGATGACTGATATATCTCAGGTTCTCTGGAGTACACAAGTAAGAATCGATAATTGGTGATACAAATTAGAGAAGAGTGTTTCGTAAGTAGAAAGACGGGTAGAAGTAGGCTGCACTGGAAGAGAGTGTTCGTGACCGCTCAGCCTGGCGTGCCTCGACCGTTGAGGGGAAACAAGTAATGACGAAGTTTGCTTTGTTTGGTGAGTTTGTTGCATTTGCGCCCCGTGCACCGGATGAGCTCAGCCTCGTCTTCTCTACACGCCTGCAACACCAAAGGATTCGCAAAAACAGACAAAATAGAACTCAAAGCACCAAAGACCTCGAATTATAAGATGACAATGGTTTCAATAGTCTACAATGCCTTCTGCGTAGCTGGAATGATTCCGAGCATATTCTGAAGAATATTACGTCACTGTCGCCGAATGATCCATCGTACTATACGTCGCGGCATACTCCCGGGAGAGAAGTTCGAATGGATCTGGTACAACCACCGAAATTTCCACCTGCTCCGCAGTGACACCCTGCTCGGACCCAATTCAGAAGTTTGTCACCTTTCGAGGCATCCGGCGGTCTTGCAACCATGGATGAACGTCCAGCGAAACGCACAAAACGCACAACGAGTGCCGCCATGTGGGATGAGAACGAGACACCAGACTCCCTGCCTAGTTCGAGCGGACGTGACCACAAGCCCAAGCCGCGCGACACCCAGGACGAGGATCGCCGCGGGCCCAGACGAGACGACGAGCGCAGAAGGAGATCGAGGTCGCGAGACACCCCCGACGGACGTAGGGATCGGAGCAGATCAAGAGAGAGACCAGCGCACCGTGAGCGAGATCGGGACCGGGACAGGAATAGAGACAAGGAGCGCGAGCGTGATAGAGATCGAAATCGAGACAGAGGAGGTGGCGGTGGACGAGACAGAGATGTCAATGGCCACGGTCGGCGAGAGAGGAGCCGTGACAGACAGCGAGATTCAAAAGGTAACAATCAAACCACTGAACTCCACAACCCATACATGTTCCCGCGCTCACGCGACCACAGATTACCGAGCTGAACGCTCACACCGACGCTCAAGGTCACGCTCACCGGCCCGGAACGGCGGTCGTGATGCTGTGCGCACACGCTCCCCTCTTCGGCGAAGCGACCATGATCGAACTAGACCTCGGGACAGGAACAAGACCGAGGATGACGACGTGAAGCCACCAAAGGCTAGAGGGGAAGAGCATGTGTCCGCCCATGGGGACAAACCAGTAGCCAACGGCGATACCATGGCCATTGATGAAGACGACGAAGACGCCCTGCTGAGGAAGATGATGGGGTTTACCATGTTCAAGACGACACACAACACCAAGGTGCCTGGGAACCAGATCTACGGCGTAAGGAAGGAAAAGAAGACTACCTACAGACAGTACATGAATCGTGTCGGTGGATTCAACAGACCTCTGAGCCCGTCGAGGTGATGGATCAGCGAATCAATGCCAGGGCGATTTGCAATGGCCAGCTTTCTCGTGTATTAGCAATTTGTGGAATAGGTGAAACGTTTCGGTGGAATACGTCCTGGAAGTCTGTCAGAATGAAACAGCCTCAGGGAGAACATGCTTCATTTTCAGCATCTATGCTACCATCGAACACTGCCTAGCCGCTGCTGGGTATGTGCTCTATAATTTTCAACACTATATTGTTACAGACTCATGAAGAGGCAAGCCGTGACCAAGAGCACATAAAAGCAGGTTCTTTCCATCGGAGAATCGAGCCAAGCACCCATTCGACCTGGTGCCGCATTTTCGGCGGAGTTAGCTGACCCGCCTTGGTCTGTGGCGGCGGCAGACGCTGCGGCAGCAGAAGCAGAAGAGGCCGAAGCAGCAGATGCGGAAGCCACAGCTCGAGCCTGGACCTGTGCAAGCGCTGATACCGCTGGTGTAAACCCCGCTCCCGAAGGGGCGTCGGTCTGGAATACCAAACACCGCGTTGGGAGTGCGGCCACAGGCACAGTCGCCAGCTCCAAAGCGCTAGAGAAGGCAAGGTTGGGAAGCAGGTCGACTCGGGCACTCATGTCGAAGCCCGCGCCCAACTCGACGCCCATGGCGACATGAGTCAGATTGTGAAACTGCTGTTCAAAATCGGCCTGAAAGGCCGACGCTTCGCTCGAATCTGCACAACTGGCATTTACGGAAGTCGTGGCCAGCTGGGTAATGGCGACGGTGGCTTTGGGGAGGTCAAGGGATGTGCCGACTTCGGCGGACAAGCCATGCAGGATTTCAATGCCGAGCGTAATTCGTGGCGTGAGAGAGAGGCTGAGAGAGAGATCGATGTCGGAGACATTAGCTTGGAAGGGCACGTCCGTGATGGATACGCCGTCACTGCGGACAAGAAGTCAGCCACCCCATCAATGGTAGCCTCGTGTTTGGGGAGACTTACAGCCCTGTCACGTTCGAGGAGGTCGGATCTGCAAAATCAAGGTTGATTGAAAGATTCGGGATCTACAAATACCACGAATATTAGCGAGCCCTTGCTCGTAGTCCAAGAGGAATATACCTTCAACTCAAAACCATAGGACATTTCAATGCCCCCAGACAGTTCCCATCCCAAGGACAATGTTGGCTCGAAGAGAATGCCGCCAGACCCGAGCTCTGGAATCTTTACACATTCCGTGTTAGGACATGGCTCTACTGACTTGATCAAAATGGTTTGCAACTTACCGAGAATCCGAAAACTGGGATTTTGAACAAGGACAGACTCATGCCTCCTTTTAAACTAGGCTCGATCGAAACCTCCACATGCGCGACGAACCCTTCAACAGCGAGCTGCACATTTCCGGCAGAGACGATGTCCGTCAAGTCCTCGACTCCAATCCAGTCGGACGGGGAAAGGATGCTCCACTCGCCCTGCGCGAGGCTTAAAGTGCCGTTGGTGCTGCATTCTTTACAGCCGATTTTGATGGGGAGCTGGGTGCCGGTGGATTGCACAGTGTCTGGAAACCAAGAGTCTTGGACACCATGGCTGAGGTCAATAGCCAGGGAAGTGGACGTGGCGGTCGAAGCGTCCGTGGGGATCAAAGACGTTGCTGTCAGGTCCAGTGGAGCGGAGGTTGATGTCGGCGTTGTTTCGTCGGAGATTTGTCTGCGATCCAAGTGTTGTGGCTGCTGGGCAGGCGGATGTGGTTCGTTGATGTGTCCGAACTTCAAGTGGAAGTTGTGGAAGGCATCTTGCCATGTTACTTTCTCTGTGTGGAGAATTGCAACGCTGTAATCTTTCTCGAAGGTAATATACCGGATTCTTGGTTCAGTTAGTGCCATCATTGCATGAGATCTGACCTGACGCCAATGTGGACGGGCATATCGCTTACTGGAATGTGGTCCGCTGTCCGTCATCAGAACAATTTGCATGATTAGCAACAACATAGGCACTGTCAAGATCCCTCCATAACTGTTTTGCTTCCTGGAATGCCGCAGTGGTGTGGAATAAAATAGTGATGTCTCTCTCAGAACACTGAATGTCCGCAAAGAAGTCTTCCATCTGCTCAAGCACAAGTACTGGTTTGTCGGACTGGAACTGGACAGACGACAAGAATATCGGACGTTGTTGACCATCGCCTTTCATCGCGGTCAGCCTCGGGTTCCTCTATCTGTCAAATTGATGTTACCGTCTGCATATCCTAGTTCAGCGCTGTGAACTGGTCCGAGGTCAGCTTTCCTTCTGGAGAGCCGGGGATGTCTCGCAATAGGTCTCAAGGTGCGGAAGGCTGTTCGGTCAGATAATACTGTTGTTGCCTCCACAGGAACGGCCTGAAGGACGAGGCCTTGCAGGACGAGAAAGGGCAAAAGTATATTTGCGTTGCTGAAATACATTTCGATCTTGCTAGGAGGAGACAGGCACAAACAATGGGCATTCAGACAGACCTACCGTGAGGTTTATGTAGAACGCTCTCGTCAAGGATCTCTCATAAAACACATCTACGACTATACCTCACCATTATTTTTCCCCATCAAGGACACAGCCTGGCATCTTCCTCATTCTCCTCTATGCCGAGAAGCTATTGAAGCAGCATCCAGCTTGCATGAACGAATGTGACAGTGGCGCTCTGCGCGGCAAGGGCAAGCGACATAATGAGTCTGGAATGTCGACATGGATGGAAAGTTTGGCCCCAATATAGTGCAAGTATGCCTCTCGAGAGACAGGTGACGATGAAGGCATTAGTGGTAACTTGCAGTCAGATTTCACAGTTATCTTGTCCCAGGCCAAAGCGATTCCGATGATAAGAGCCAAGCGAATGCAGAGCAATCCCAAGTCGGTGACGATACGGGACCTGTAATGGTTCTTTTGGCGAGGCGCAGATCCTGCGTCTAAATCGTTACCGCAGCGCAATGTGCCCGTGCAAATCGTTTGAAGAATCAATAGACTGTTTTGAAATGGAGTCAGAGACCACGACGGTGTCATGCGGGCAGACGGATTCTCAAGGGAAGCCCTTGTATAGCCTCAAACAAACTAATCCCTCGTCATGGCTCTAGGCAAAGTTGGCCTAAAGTAGCGTGCCCAATTGACGGATGTTGCTTCTGTGAAGTATATGTTGGAGATGATGTAGGTTTGAACCGTGCGATGTAGACGCACACCTCTGCAATTTGGGGTTACAGCGAGCTCGATTCTGCTCGTTTGGACATTTTGGGCTGACAGTTGGGAGTAACTGCTCAGTTCTGCCAGATGAAAAGAGACTGCTGAAATGCATAGACGAGGCCCTAGGTCTAGGTAGATAGGCGAAACGAGAAAAGTGTCAGTATGGGGCAGGGCGTACTCGGTACACTAGGGTGGTTGTGTTGAGCAAGCACAGGGCAGTGCTCTCATCGGATATCTCCCATCGTGCCAGAAGGTGAGACAAAGACCGGGGAGAGGATGAAACTGGAGGAAAAGCGTAGGGTGGTTTGAGAATCTTAGGCGCAGGTGGAGGTCAGACACAAGCGCAGGTCTTGGCAATTGCCTGCGCCGCCTCCTCCGCCGGTACCAGCCTCGTCTGCTCACGTCTCAGCCTCGTGGTTCCTCACCATCCAGACCTCGTCCGTCATGCCCGTTGTTTACATGGCGCCAGACGGTGTCAAACGCTTGACGCAATCCATTTCTCTGGTAAGAAGAATACGCAGAGATAACCCGCGATCACCAGTGTCGTTGACACGGTAAGGTGTGAACGCCTTCCATATCCGGCGCAGGCGCATGTCTTCAATCAATCAGAGCTGCATTCCAACGAAACTAAAAATACGAGAAGACCTGAGAGTTCAGTCAGCCACCGACCTCAATGCTCGATTGGCTCAAAAAGTACTATGAAAACTATTCGGAGAGGTCAAGCACACTTCAGCTGCGAGCGGCATCTTTTAGGAGATGGATGGATGTGATGTGTAGAGGCGTGATGCTAACGCTACTCACTAGCAGTGCATATATAGGTTTGGATAGACCTGAGAGTGGCCGCTGTGGACTTGGTCTTTGCTATAGTGTACTACCGCAGACGTCCTCGCTGAGCCAGTTCCATCGACAGATACAGAATGAAGATCATAGCCATTGCTGCTCTTCTCACCATGAGCACAGGATGGGTGCATGGACATCCACCACCCAGACGCGCCCTCGGAGGAAGCGTTGTTGTTCGCAAATTTGCTACAGGTAGCGACATCTTCGTCGATACAGCAGTCGCCATTGATGTAAACGAAGACAAGACTCTCCACAGCCTCAATCGTCTGTCTCCCACACTCTCCCACTGGCAGCCCCAGAGCATACTGACCTCTCCAAACTGCAGCGCTGAGCCACCCACAGGCAATCCAGATGATATCAACCACATCCGATGCCAGCTATGTCACCTGCGACTATACTTGCGGACATCGTGGCGCCATGAACGGCAATGCGGTGATCTGTGGCTCAACCACCATGAAGTCTGGCGCGCCGTCCAACATCCTCGACGCTTCTTGGGTGGATTCGGTCGAAAGAGCCACTTGTTTTGTCAGTGCCAACGATCCAACTGAGTGAGAGTGGTTCTTAAAAGACACATTTTCGGAGACGCAGGGGGTTCTTTTCAGGTGAAGGGGTAAATAATGATACTTCAGGCAGAACAGGCGTATGAGACCAACGCACCAATTATGATACTCCCGAAAGTGCGTGAGCTGCCGGCACGTGTCGATACACATTAGATGAACTTCTCACTAGACGGCAGACTCAACTCCGCGTGGATTTCAAATGCTTTCTGATCGGTTGGCCGCTTATCCGAATGCCGGGGCGGGCAAGTCAACAACCGCAGCTGCAGGGAATTTTCTTGATTCTTATCCGTTCCCGAATTGTTCCCCGGAATTTGTCCCCAATCGGATGCATCTCGACTCGTGTGGTAGGGCCTGACGGACCGACTTCCAACACTGTGAATACGCCATTAGCCACATTGCGAATACGACATACGGCATGCTACAATCCGAATACGAACTGGCTTCCCTTGTCAGGCATCCAGCCAACCATCCAGCCATCATCAAGGCACGGCTACAAAAAGGGTTTGTCCTCATTCTTCATTCTTTGGGCTCAAAAGTTCCCTTTACCACTCGTGTTCTCTGAGGATCAGATAGTTTACCCTGGATATACAAATTAGTCAAACCTCAATAATGGCGTGGAATCCCACGGTCGTGTCATTCATCTGCATCCCGCTCCTGGCTTTGCTAGTGGCACGCGCCTACGGGCTGCTAGTCAACTACCTACAAGTGAGAAAACTGGGGATTCCCATCGTCGTCATCCCTTTTTCATGGCAGGACGACTTCTTGATTCTGGCCTATCCGTACCTGAGGCACCTCCGCCATTTGCCCTGGATCGGGCATTTTTTCGTGCTCAGCTACCATTCCTGGGCCCAGGACGAGCGGTATCACCCGCACCAAAAGTATGGCGACGTCTTTGTAGTTGTTTCCCCAAAGCAGAACGAGATCGTGGTCAACGACCCCGGCGTGGCCGTGGACCTGCAGACCCAGTACAAAGCGTGGGTCAAACCGCAACCGCTGTACGAGCTCTTCAATGCATTCGGCCCAAATGTCATCAGCGTCAACGGCGAAGACTGGCAGCGCCACCGCAGAATCGTCAACCCAGCTTTCCGTGAGCAGAACAACAGGCTCGTGTGGGACGAGTCGCTGAGCCAGGCGAGGCAGATGATCGAGGTGGTTGCCAATCGAGCAGATGGCCGCCGATCAATGCTTGACGTCCGGAACGACTGCGTCCTGATCGCGATGCACGTCCTCTCCGCTGCCGGTTTCGGACATATTCACGACTTTGACGGAGGCTTTCGTGAGATCCCAAAGGGCCACAAAACCAGTCTGGCCGAATCGTTGAAGTTTCTCCTCCAGAACATTCTCTTCGCCGTGCTGTTCAAAAATGCACGTGTCTTCCGCTGGATGATGCCTGCTTTATATCGACAGGTCACCGCCATGACGGACGAGTTCATTCGATACATGAAGGAGATCGTCGCCTACAACCGGGCCATCACGCAGGGAGGTGGCAGCAGCAGCGGGGCCGATATCGTCAGCGCCCTGGTGGAGGCCGACGAGGCGGCGAAAAGAGAACAGAAGAAGGCCGGCCACGGCGCTGGGGCGAAGCCAATGTACCTCAGTGACACGGAATTACTAGGTAACCTGTACATCTTCAATCTGGCCGGCTTTGAGACCACTGCGAACGCACTGACCTACACAATCCCGTTCTTGGCCACCAACCGCGAGATCCAGGACTGGGCGGGCGAAGAAGTGGACGCAGTGTTGAAAAAGTGGGAGGGTCGAAAGCTCGACTACGAAGAGGTGTTTCCGCAACTCGTGAGGTGTTTGGCACTGATGGTATGTTGAACCAAATTTGGATCCTCTTTTGCGCGAGCTCATGGATTTCAGTATGAGACCCTTCGTCTCTGGGGGCCAGTGCCCGCGACGAACCGCTGGTGTGTCGGCCAACCACACTCTCTGCGAGTCAAGGGCCAAGAAATCGTGGTGCCAGTCGAGACGTATGTGACGATAAATCTATATGCTGTCCACTCCGACCCGCGGTGGTGGGGAGGCGACTCACTCAAATGGAACCCGCGGCGCTGGATAGTAACCGACCCGGCGACAGGGGTCGAGTCCCTCGCTCATCCTCCACCGGGCGCCGCGTTTGTGCCCTGGAGTGTCGGGCCCAGGGTCTGTCCTGGGAAGAAGTTCAGCCAGGTCGAATTCGTAGCCGTCATTTCGACACTGCTCAGCAAATGCCGCCTGAAACCGCTAATCATGGAGGGGAAAATGACGACGGAAGAGCAGGCCAGCTCGGCGCTGTTGCAGGTGCTGGAGGACTCGATGAATATCATTACACCCAAAATGCGTCGACCTGAAGATGCGGGCGTGGTGTTTGTTCCACGATAGGAAGTGGAGTCCTTGTACAACATCGTCGCTGGTCGACGGAACAGGGTCGAGCGGAACCATGGTTATACCTCACTCTCCCCTCCTTCCTATCGAGACATACAAAGCGTGTCCATCCCATAATTTGCCATCCTTGTCCAAGTGGTCTTGCCAAATGCGCGCCCATGCTGTCCTGGCTTTCTCCACGACTTCTGTCCCTCCCTCCGACTCGAGGCCGTTGAAAAGACTCTTCCACAACCCGCTTCGACTGGTCTTTCCTTCGAGTGCCTCCATTGCCTGATCCGCGCCGTACCACTTCTCAGGGATGTAGCTCCTGGTGCGAAAGGACTTTTCTATCTCCAGCCCGGCATCCTTGAATAGGTCCTGTATGGTCTGGATACCTTCTATCCAGTCGAAATCGTAGACCATGGACTTCCCCAACGCGCGCCGGAGTGGGTAGTTGAGCAGGTACTGCAAATTACGATCCTCTGTGGGCACGTCAACGATCAATCTTCCGGTTCCGGGCTTCAAAAGGGTGACCCAGTGTCTGATGGCCCTTGCGGGATCCTCAAGCAAGACGAACGCCGAACAACACGAAATGACGTCAAATCCTCCCCTTTCCTTCACCACCCCTTGGACTTCCTCCAAGGACGAAAGGTCGGTGATGTCTCCCAACACCCATTTCACCTCTGCGCTTCCCACGGGGAGCGGCTTGCGCTTGGCTTCGTTGAGCATCGCCTCAGTGATGTCGACGGCGACGATGATGCCACCAGATCCGACCGCCTCAGCTTGAGGTAGTGTGACTAAACCAGTACCACATGCGAGGTCAAGTACCGCACCGCCCTTGGGAGGAGGCAACCAGGTGACGAAATCTCGGCCCAGTTCCACGTGCCAACCACCGTGTGAGAGGTCATAGTTCGCGGCACGGGGGGTGTATTGAGCCAGCGTCTCGGCGATGAACTCGTTGGCGCGGGTAGACATCTTGTTGACACGAAAGAGCGCGTGGCCTGAAGGTGCTTCGGAGTGGAGAATATCGCGGTAGGCAGAGGTTTGGCTCTGTCTATTTGGTGATTTCTAACATCCGGTCAGCTTTGTAGTTATTCTTCCAAAAATCACCAGTCTACATGTAGTAAGTCTCAGGATTCCGTCAGGCCGTCACCGGCTGACGACACCGCTCTACGTAAGAGAGACAAATTGCTAGAAGGACTACTAGAAGAAATTCGGCCGTTTTGGCCGCATGGCAAGCGCATGGTCTCGGGCCACCTACCTTGTATCCGTAAATTGTGCCTTGTACAGTATTAACGAAGAATTCACCAAGGGACAAAAATTCTCTTATAAGACTTTTCGAAAAAATATCCGATGGCCCGTGGACCAACAAAAAGAATCTGTCCAGAGCGAGAATCGAACTCGCGGCCTTCGGATATCTTCTTGTGTGTGTGTGTGTGAATGTACAAGATCATACATGGACTGCTTGAGAGCGATAGGCCGATACATATACCTGAGCGTGTACCCACCACCGCCGTAGTTGAGCGAGTCCATGTACCTGTACTTGGTCGACCTTCCTCCACTAGCCAGGAAGAAAAATGTCAGTGGCTAGGCACCTCGGCCCAGGTGTCTATGTCCTCGAAGGACATGATATTGTTCTACAGAGTCCAAGGCTAGAGTGAGTTGGGTTGACGGACTGGTTGATGAAGAGATGTTCGAATGAAGTCTGTCCTTTCTTGTCAATATGATAACAATGGATTTTGAGGTCTGGCAGACTCCTCGAAACCTTTCTTGTTGTTCTGTTTACATCCTTGTCTCGACCTCATCAGACTGACCAAATGTTTACTTTCGCGTCCTTCGCGTTTCTGTTCTTTTCCCCATTTCGCTGCCCTTCAACATAACAGGCAAAATACACCACTCAAATCCAGATTTCTCTCTCTGATTTCATCTACTGGGTGTTAAAAAGTTGCAAAGTTCCCCGAGCACGACTCACTCTCAAAGCTCGCCGGGCCATCATGGACGATAAAGCACGGCTCGAGTACGAACTTGCCGAGATTGAGTTGGAGAAACGTCAACTACAGCTTGAACGTCGGGAGCTCGACATCAAACGCCGGCTCAAACTGCTCAAGGGAAGCGCCGAGTCGGCCGACGGCGATGCCACTGTCAAATCTGAAGCTAAGCGTGACGATCCCAGCGAGACTGGAACGACTGCTGCGCAGGACGGATCTCCTACTGAGTTGCAAGCAAACGTTTCGTCGAGTATTCCCGTAACAGATGGCACCGCTGTCAACTTGAGTGGGAATCTAGCCGTCGAAAAGGACCAAGAAAAGGTGGGAAATGAGAACTGCGAGACTAGGAAGGGAACGCAATGTAACGAGAATGTAACCCGCCTGTCCTGCAAAAACTAACGTCTGTCTAGTTCCGAAGCTCTGTCCGCGCAAGGGTTCAGAAGCGAGATCAATCGGTGAGAAGATGAGGAATCGCTTCTTCACTTACGAGCCAGAAGAGCAAACGGCCGCACAGAGAAAGTCTCAAGAACGTCACGAAAAGCTCTTAGCAGCCTTTACTGGCTGTCCACCGAGCAAACCCTCGAGCTTACTAGCTAAGCAAAAGCAAAGCACGCCCTCAGATACCTTTGTCCTTACTTTAGACTCTGACTCTGACGTCGACACAAGTGACTCTACAGGCGGGTATTGTGCCAGGGTGAAACGACGACGAGTGTCCCCGAGGGACGAAAAGCAAGCCACCGACGTCCCAGGACCCATGACACAGTCCCAACAGTACGACCTCGTCAAACACTACACGGGTCTTCTGCTCAAGCACATGACATCGATCGAGTCTACACTTGGCTACGCGTGTTTCCAGAAACCGACCGTGGCCTCCAAGCTGCGAAGAGTCACGTTCGGGAGTACACACCACAGCATCGCCCTTCTCCACGAGGACTTTACAGCGGCTGTGAACAAGCACGCCAAGGATTCTCGGCTGCGTTGCGCTCTGGTGGTCGAACTCGACAAGTTTGAATGGGCGCAGGAGTCGTGGTGGCCATTGTGTGAGGCGCTAAACACCCAGCAAGAGAGGATCTCGTTCATCACAAGGGTGTTCCCGGACGTCGCGGAGGATAATTTCAGCCTGGAGGAGTGTCGGGCAGAATACGGGGCGGGAAAAAAGGCTTGAGAGAACATGCGTGGACCGTGCATGGTGCAGGGCCAACAAACACCCAGTTTACTCGGCCCGAGCAGTCAGTCGAACCAAGTCAGGAGACGGAGAGGGAGGGAGCAAAGCATTGCAATCTGGGTTCAGAGCTGACTCTGGGAGATGGTTACGGTCTGGTTTGAGAAGATTTCTGACGAGAACGTTCAGTCGGCGCTCTATTGACAGGAGTTTCTGGGAGTGTGTTTACAACTACGCAGCTGGGAGGACGGAACAGCTCGGATGTGTTCATAAGGGGTATCTCAGGATGAGATGAGAGATACCTGATAACAACAAGTCCCTTGAGTGTCATGTGCCCAATCATTTGACTGCGAGTGATGGGAAATGAGCCTCGTTGACAGAGACCAGACAGCGTACGATATCAAGGAATCATCTTTTCACGACGTCCTTGGCGTTGATATTGCTTGTCCCTCTTAATAAAATGTGTCTTTCGTCCCTATTTTATTGCAATCTTTTCACTCTCATATTCAACTCACGAGTCTTTCTCGAGGTGAGGCGTGGCATTCGACTCTGGCAATACCTCGTTCACCATCACGCACTTCTGAAAACCCATTCAGTTCAGTCGCCTACCGCAGGATTTCCAAGCGATGGACAACGAAGACCTCATCAACGCCGAGCTTGAGGAGCTGGAGATCGAGCAGCGCCAGTTGGATCTGGATCGCAGAAAGCTAGAACTCCGCCTGAGGCTGGCTAGATTGTACGGCCGGGTCGAAACCCCTGTGGATGGCAGTCAGGCGAAAGTGAAAGCAGAGCCAGTTGAGGACACCAACGGAGTGGAAGGTCTAGGAGGAGAATCGACAAATGTCCCTGCCCCCAGTGACCGAATTGTGAAGCGAGAAGCCATGAATCCGCCGCATCTGGTTGAGCAGGGTCAGGCCACTGATCAGTCAAGTCAGCTAGTGCCCACACCTAATCGCTCACCAGACGCACCGCACCCGAGTAGCCAGTTGAGAGATTTCAGCAAGCTTCCCTGCTCAAAGCCAACGGTGTCATCTTACACAACTCCAGTGACAGATCGGTTAATCTCCCGAGGCAGCCCCCAATCGACACCGGCCCGCTACTCGCAAGGAGGCAGGTTTGGCCTTCGAACGAGCTCGCCGCACAAAAGAGTACGCAGTCCTCGAAGTGGGGGTGACGACTTCGTGCCAGCAAAGAAGTCGAGCCCCCCAACAAAGCAAGTGAAGGAGTTGACAAAGAACAAAAATACCAAGGGCAAAGGGAATAAACAGTCACCCAAGGTCGACTGTCTGCCTGAGCACCATGCCTCGGCCCTCATTCGCAGATACGGAGAGAGACTCGTTCAACGCCACAGGCAGCCCCTCCGCAGACACGAGCGGCAGGAAGCGAAAGAGGTAGTCAAGGCTGGTTCTAAGATCGTCGATGGGCTTCTGGAAAAGAAGTTTAACCCTCGAGAAACTGCACGACGGAAATGATCGTCAAATTCGTTTGTACTGCGCGAAGCAATTGCAGGAGCCTCTCATAATGGAACTACAAAAGTTCTGCCGAGCCACCCCGGTGTGGTGGAGGATGTGCGTGAAGAAGCGTACGCAGCAGGAGAGACTAGAGGACGTGGCCATGGTGTTTAAGGACGTTGGCGAAGGAATCTCGACTAGGTGCACGCACAGGCAAGGGAGTGAACTGGTGGTGATTTCCAACACCGAATTATGGTTTCAGCGAGAGACTGACGTGGATGGTCTGTCGTTGGTATCAAATTGGAAAGAAGCTGAGGCTGAGTGTCACTGGTGGTGAGGGAATAGTCTAACAGCGCAACCCTGGCCAAGATGTACCATTGGAAAACTCGTTCCGTTACGTGCCCGATGGGTATTGTC